GTAAGTTAAGCGGCTATCCATGTGTAGACCCAAGTAACGAACTACCGAGACCCACTGTATGTTGTCTTCAAAAAGAGTGAGTTGAAAAGGGGGGTCAATAACTCCCCATTTTCTGAATATAATTGCTTGAGATTTGTCAACATTAATTGCAATTCTCCATTGTGTGAGCCAATCTTGTAACTTGTCAAGGAAGTTTTGCATGTTTTTAAGTGTGTATTTGAGCTGGGTACCTTGCGTAAGCATGGCGGAATCATCCGCGAACAGGCAAGTACTGAACGGTGGGGTGTTCTGGGAAGTCGTGTGTGTAAATGTTGTATAAACTGGGGGACAGGGAACTACCCTGGGGGGTTCCACTTTGAATAAGTCCATTAGTTGAAAATGTGTTCTTTACACGGACCCTGAAGGTCCTGTTGTGTAAATAATTGTGAACAATTTTAATTAAATATCCAGGGAATTTTTGAGTTTGATGAGTTTGTATGTGAGTCCATCATGCCACATCTTGTCGAATGCTCTCTTAACATCTAAGAAAACACCGACAGTGTAGAATTTGTTAGCGAATCCTTCATTTATAATATTCGTAACTCGTATAAGTTGGTGTAGCGTAGAATGGCCATCCCGGAACCCGCATTGTTCCGGGGGAATGCAATCTATGGCTTTGCAGTGCGTTTGAATTCTTTTTAAGATTATTCTTTCGAAAACCTTAGCAGTGGTACTTAATAAAGAAATCGGGCTATAATTTTGACTAAATTTATGGTCCTGATTTGGCTTTGGCAACATAACTACGTTTGCTTGCTTCCACTGTGTCGGAAAGTGATTTTTAATGAGGCATTGATTGTAGATTTTTGTTAAGTGCGTAATAGCATTTAAAGTTAAGTATTTAAGTGCAATATTTGGAATATGGTCGGGACCCGCAGCTTTGCGGTTCTGCAATCTTTTAATAATGCCTCGGACTTCAATAGGGGAAGTGAGGGGAGGTGTTAGTGTTGTGAAGTTGTCGAAGTAGTTACAAACTACATTTTCGACTTCTTCGATCTTGTCGTCACAGTAGGGTTCAACATTTTCCTGAAAAGTGACTTCAAGTGTGTCTTTGAAAGCCTCCGCTTTTTCGAAATCAGAATAAGCCATCCCTCCTGGACCATGGAGAGGGGGAATGACCGTAGCTCTTTTAGTGATTTTCCTATGTAAATTGTACAAGGAATTATCCTGAGGGTTTAAAGTTAACAGAAGATCTTTCAGGTCCTGTTTTTATGTGCTTCGATTTCTTTCCTGATCTGTCTAATGAGAGCGTCAACTTCGCGTTTGTATGGTTGATATCTGGTGTTGTTCCAGAGTTTTCTGAATCTATTTTTTGCTCTGATAAGCACTCGTATGTTTTCAAAAAGGCGGTGGTGAGGTGTGTTGATTACCCTAGTGGACGTGGAAGCAGGGATCGCATTCATAATTACGTCGGTGAAATTTTGAACGACCGTATCCAAATTATCTATTTGGGGATTTCCCGGAATGTTGTGATAAAGAATCTCTTGAAATTTAATCCAGTTTGTAGATTTAAGAGTTCTAAGAATCGGTGGTAAGATGTTGTTTGTTATGAAATGAAAAATCACTGGATTGTGATCACTGCTAAGGACATTTATAGTGAAAACATCAGTGTGAGCCAAGTTAGCTGCAAAGCCGATGTCAAGAATGTTGTTAATGTGCCAGGTGTTGAAATGAGTTGGAGAGTGTCAGGGGTGATAATATCCAATGCGGACCCGACGGCCCACTTGCATAAAATATTACCATTTGTGTTAGACCTGCCTGGGTTCCAGCTCGAGTGTTTCGCATTAAAATCACCGAAAAGAAAGGCTTTGTTTCTATGATTGAGAATTGCGTCCAGTTCAATAGTATTAATGGAGCCGTGTGGAGGTCTGTAAATACACGCCACCGTAATTTTAGTGTTGTTTCCTACTTGTAGAATAACCGATGCATTTTCAAATGTGTTTGAAGTATTGACAATGGCGTGATGCCTAATGGAATTTTTAACGAAAATGGCAGTGCCGCCCCCGCGGTGTGTTGTACGATCACTTCTGTGACAAGTGTAGTTTGGAATGCTAACTCGGTCCGCAGGATGAAGGTGTGTTTCTTGTATCCCGATTACGTCGGGGTTGTAGTCAATGATAGTGTCTTTAAATTCATCTATACATCGTTTTAAGCCGTTAGCATTCCAGCTAAAAAACCTGAGAGAGTTACTGTTCGCGCTATTATTGAATGTTAATTTTAAATTTTAGATTGAATGATGGACAGCATTTGTCCCCACTGTGTCATCATTTGTGACATTTGTGACATGACTTGAGAAACATCAAAGTCGTGATTCGTGTTTTTCTTAACTGCAGCAGAGTACAGTTGTTGAGGAGGTGTGGAGTTCTGAGCGCGCTCTCCTGGTTTCTCCTGCCAGACGTTTTTCATTGGTTGTTTTTTCTTATTGTTGTTTGTGTTGTTTTTAGGGTTTTGGGGGCATCCTGAGAAATTTGCAGGGTGCGGTCCACTGCAGTTTGCACATTTAGCTGGGGCTTTGTTTGGCTTTTTGCAATCGGAGGTGAGATGGCCTCCTGAACATTTCAAGCATCTAGGTGCACGATTGCAAAACCTAGAGTGATGATAGAACTCCTGGCATCTATAGCACTGAGGAGGCATGTTTGATTTGTTTAGAGGTTCAGCATGAACTCTAAAAAATCCTATGTTTGTGATATTGAAAATTCCCTGATTATCAGGGTTTTTAAGAAGGGTTACCAGAAAAAGTGGCATGTTTGTATTTGTCTTCTTGTTTTTCAACAAGGAGATGTGGTTGGGATCGAAACCAAAACCACGGAGTTCCTGCATCAATTCTGTATGATCAAAATCGGTGGGTAACCCTCTGATCACGCATTTTAATTGCTGAGTGTGTGACATCTCAAAGGTGTGGGACCGCATCTTATTATCTGAAATGTAAGCTTGGAGCTTTCTCTGCTCAACGATGGACTTTGGGAAAACGCGAAGTTTTCCGTTTTCAAATCGCCCCTCAAGTGGTGCGCCTACATGTTTTCCTAGCTGTTCTAACAGCCCGGTTGCATTTTTCCCTGCATCGATAACGATGGAGGCAATGCGTTTTTTCCTTGTGACCTCAGTAAATGAGTCACTATCGTAGTCCTTGCTAGAAGGAGCGTTACCGTTAGCGGTAATTCCCGAGCGCGAAGCGCCAGCGGGAGAAACGTCCTTCGTCATTTCTGTTTCTTCCGAGCTGTCATCGGATGAAATATCTTCCTCCATCGAAAGCGTTTCGCCTTCGACAGGAGGGGACGGGGTGTTGGGTGGGAGCGAACGCTCCGAGCATTTCTTTTTCCCTGCGTTGCCTGGGGTAGGAGAACCAGTCGCTCGCTTGTTTTTCCTACGCTTCGCCGTTTTAGAAGCGGCGGTAGCAGTGGGGACTTTAACTGAATTGAGACACTCAATCTCTTTAATGTAATCCTTGAACTCCTGACATTGGAGTTTCGTGGATTTGCGGGAGCATTTTAATGCTATCCATTGAACTTCATTTATGACCCTAAGTCTCTCAGGCGTGTTGTTGTCGGGTTTGTGAAGTGCGTTGAGGATGTCTTCAAGAGCATCGCACAAATCTTCACATTCCGCGCATGTACTACAATTATCTAATTTAGAATTGGCTCTAACTGCATCAAAACAAAAGGGATCAGTAGTGAACATGTCACCTACCTTTATCGACGCTACATCTGACCTGGGGTTGCGGTCTCATACATGGTAATCCAAAGTATGAGCTGAAAGAAATGAAATAGTGAACGTGAACACGTTCACCTATCCAAGGAACAGTGTTGGCGCTAAGCCTAACACAAAGTCTAAGCCTATCACACACTAAGCCTATCCGCCTGTCACCGCAAACTCCGAAAAAAAACCCGGAAAACTAACTAAAATAATCCTCGAAAAAGGACCACAATTGTCCTTAGAACAGGAACCAGGCAAATAAATGACCAAAATCCTAATCGCTAGCTCGATGGAGTTGGATAAAGAAAATCCAGCTTGGGGTAGGACTGAGAAAGGGTCGCAGTCTAGGGCAGAAAAACTGCGTGTGAAGTCTGAGGTGTTGACAGTAACAAACGGAGCACCTGATCTCCAAAGAGGTCTAAATCTCCTATCGAACACTTGGGGAGTAGCATTGAAAATCTTACTTGCCCTTGTTAAAATTAAGTGGAAATAAATAGTACTGGATTGCTAAAATTAAAACGGGGTCGCATTTGCGACCGAGAATCGGAAGAGTGTCTCGCTTCGACCAGTGGCCGGGGGTTTCCCGGTCAGTGGGCGGAGCGAGCTTTCGAGGGAGGTGGGTTTGAAAAAACAATAAATCCTTGCAATTGAGAGGTATTTGAAATGAGAGGAACTAGAAAATTAGGCCTTTCGATCTTGATTTTTAAAGATTAAGATGAAGAGAGATAGAAAATATCTATTCTCTCTTCATCTTTTGCGTATCTAAAAACTGCCTACCCATTTCTAAAAGATAGGGGTAGTCGAGAAAGAATCTTCTTAATTCATTTATCGCGTCTTTATAGCCGAAGTCATTTCCATTACTTTTTTCATCTGTTGAGGGGGTTTCTTCGGGGGTGGCCGAAGTTCCGGGAGTACTGTTTTTATTTGAAGCGCCAGAGAGGGCAGCTGCGAAGGAGAGATTTGGGGTGACCTGTTTTGAGGTTTTGTTAGTTTCGGTAGAGGGGTTGCGATTACGAATCGTTTCACCTTTTCTCGGTTTTCTTTTGGGGAATTCTTCACATTGGCTCCAATTTGCCATGTGTCCTGTCTTATTGCAATTGATGCATACGGGATTTTCTATCCTTTCTTTAATAGGGCATTCATTGGTACGGTGGGATTCACCGCATTTTAGACATCTGGTGCGCATAAAGCAATTTTTCGACGAGTGGTTAAACAAGTCACAGTTGTAACATTGTGAAACCCCCGGTCGTCTGTTGAAAAAGATGTATGCCAACGGCACGCGGTGTTCCCAGGTGGTCACCCTCCCAAGTACTGACCGCGCTCGATGATGCTTAACTTCGGTGATCAGACGTTGGATAAAGAAAATCCAGCTTGGGGTAGGACTTTGAGAAAGGGTCTCAGATGCAGTGGCCGCGAGAGCGGTCGGATTTAAGAATCTTAGTGTAACTTTACGCTCGTCCAATGGGGAGGCAGCTACTGAGAAGGGGGTGGAGTTAGTTGAAAAAGTTAGTCAGAGATCAGGGTGGGAGAGGGATTCTTGTTCCGGACGCCATCAGAGGATGACGTCTACTGCTAGCTGGTCCGATAGGACAATGACTTCTAGCGACATTGGAACTGCGACCGCAGGCGCGGCGGCAAGCTCGCCCTCACGTCTGACCTTCGACGATTCATTTATAGTAGAAAACTCTGATCTGTTCCGAGAAACTATCATCGCTCGGAACGTTTACGCTGCGTGGGCTAGGAAGCTCACAACAGCCAAGCCTAACGACCCGGATCTTCAAAACATCCACATGGAAGTCGCCAAATCAGGTGAGATCGTTTCCTCTCATCTGGCCAAGCTTGACGTCCCATTATTTAAGATCCCTGCCTCTGAAAAGGAACTAGATAGAATAATTCTTCGCGAGAAGAATAAGACTATCGTTTCGCCGAAGAAGCAAGAGGAGAAAAAGCCGGCAGCGGCTCCTCCCTCCCCCTCTTCCTCTCCCCGCAAGGGTAGAAAAGGAGCGAAGAGAACCGTCGACTCGACGGCTTCAAGCAGCTTGTTAGGAAAGTTCTCCTCGCTCGACCCCCTCCCTCGCCAACCCCCTTTCCGCGCCTATTATGGACAGCGCTACTTTGGAAGAACAGGGCGAAGAGGGAATGGATACAGTTAACGATGAACCGCAAAGTCAGGAAGAGGTGCCTGTCGCGACGAAAAAGCCGCGCATCCCGCCGTTCTTCGTCTCGCCCAAGGGCGATTGGAGGCAGTTGGTGGCGTTAGCCAAGCTGATCGCCCCCTCCTTCCAATCCCAAATGTCAGGAAGGTTCCTAAAGGTCACTGTGGCCGACGATGTCGACTACAGGGCCCTTAGCAAATGGCTGGAATCTTCCGGGGTCGAGTTCAAAAGCTTCATGTTGAAGCAGGACCGACCCGTAAAAGTCGTAATTCGTGGCCTCCCCTCCAACACGGAGCCGGAGGAAATCAAAACCGAAATTGAAGCGGAAGGCTTCAAGGTGCTTAAAATTTCTCAGATGAAGAATTACAGGACAAAGGCTCCCATGCCACTGTTCTACCTTCAAATCGAGAACGGCGTGGATGCGCCAAAAATATACGACTTCACGGAGTTGTTCGGTACCCGCATCGAAGTTAAACCCTTCGATCGCGGAACAAAGTGAACCAGTGCTGGAGATGTCAGGGTGGTTTCACTCCTCGGAGGTGTGCCACCTCCCTCCCCGCTGTGTTATGTGCAGGACCCCACGCGGCCAAAGATTGCACACTCGAGTTCGAGGCGCCCATGCGGCCAACTGGAGTCGGTGCCCTAAGCACCCAAATAATAGTAAAAGGAAAAACCAAACTAAAAATAAAAACGGCCCTAAGCCAAATAATAATTTAATAAAAAAATAATGTAATCAATAAGCAATCTGCGCAGGCACCTCGACCTGATATTTCTAAGGCGAGAAAAGTCTCGCCAATCTGGACTACTCTAAAGTAGTCCAGAACAAAATTCCCAAGGAGCATGTTAGCCCCTTTCTACCTCTAATTCCGAATTACGACCGGCCCCTAGCAAAGATGCCAGCATAAATGCCGGCCTTAAAAGATTTACGATAGAGGAATCTCCCTCTATCGACAAGCAAACTTTCTGCAGGGCGTTTAAAATTCCCTTTCTGCGCTCCGCTCGGCATCTGCGGACGTAGATAAAACTTACGTAATTTTCGAAGCCTATTGCAGGCTTCGCTCCCTCCAGGCTTAACTTTCCCCGCCCACGTGAGTACTTGAAGATTGATTTTGGAATGCAAGTTCCTTGCGTAACAAAATCCATGAGGTACGCGATTTTGTTTCGGAGCAAAAACCTGACATGTTCTTGGTCCAGGAAACCTGGCTTGAGCCGGGCATCGACCCCCAGATCGCAAACTATCGTCTTACTAAAGACGATAGAATCGAATTTCCCCATACCGTAACGCGAGGCGGCACGGCCATTTATTGTAAAAATGAGATCGTGCATCACAGGGTTCCCCTTCCTAATTTACAAGGAATGGACGCCACTGCGGTGCAAATTAAAATTAATGATTTCCCTCCCATTAATATTGTATCGGCCTACGTCAGAAGAAGAGTAGGCCATAGTTTCCCAGTAGAGGATTTTAAGAAAATTTTCAATTCTGGCAGTAATTGTATCATCGCTGGTGACTACAACGCAGCTCATGTGAGTTGGCACAATGCCAAGTCGACCCGTTTCGGGCAAGTGCTGCATAGGCCCTGAGGACCGAGAAGGGGTTATTTACCGGAATGGTATTTTCGGGCAGCTCTTTACGATTATTAATTTCTGCGGTATTATTGCAGGTATCTTTATCGTTAGTTTTTGTCTTTGATGTGGAGTTAGTCTCCTTAGTTGAGGCGGGAAGAATTTAGCCGCCGCTCTTTTCTTATGACGGGTAGCGTTAAGCCCGTTTGTGGTTAAAAATATATATAAATTAAAGTTTTTCTTTTTAAAAAAGTGGTCTTTAAAATTATAAAAATTATTTTCGAAATGAAATGTTTTTTCGCTTAACACATAAGTAATTCCTTTTCTTCACTTTAGACCGATAATACTCAACTTGCGGTCCACCACACCTTTTTAAGTGGCCATTGCTCTAAGAAATTTATTTATTTAAGAACATTGTCTTAAAAATTTGATGGGAAATTCCTTGACAAGAAAACAAATGTATCAATTTTCCTTTTTGCTGTCGTTGTCATACGGGCACGAATTGATATTTTTTTTCTACTTGAAACGGTTATGGTTAAAAATAACAGACAATAATGGAGTAGCCCCGATTTTAAGGAGTGGATCAAGACAGCGCTCTGCACCCAGTTAGATTTTTTAATGCAGTGCTAGCGCCATCTGTTACTAAATATGGAAACTAAAATAATTGATTGCCTTGCTATTTTTGTGTCCCTGTATTAGTCGAACGATTTTTGCAGAAGTGCTTTTGCATTTTATTTACATTTTTAATAATTTTTACTTTTGGTTTCTTGTGTTTGTTTTTTTTTGCTTTATTTTGTTAATTGTTTTGTTATCTTTCTTGTTATTTTAATTAGTCAATCTGTTTTTTCATTTTCTGTAATCAATTTTTGCATACTAATTGTTCTCTGAAATGAATGTGCATAGCAGAGACTTAATCTGCTCATTTTGTAATCAAGTCTTCACTCACCTTTCTGTTTGAAAAGGCATTTAAAAAATATTGATGATCACTAACAGTGTGATGTAAATGAAGAGGTTTTGAAGGAATTCAATACTTTCAGCAGTATGAATAGTTGCATTTAAAAAAACATTTAATTTAATTGCAATTTGGCCTTACAGAAAGAATGATTTCATAAAAATATATGTTTGGATGTAAGAGAGGAAATTAACATTCTACAAAGGTAAATAGAAATGAATCAATGAAAATATTAATATTTAGTAATAAATAATTTTCATTAACTAAATAAATTGCAAATTAAACTGAGGTTTGATAAATAATCATGAGATATATTCACTAAAAATAAATAATATTTTGGACAACAGATGGCGATAGCACTGCATTACAAAAAAAACTTTATCTGGATGCGGAGCGCTGTCTTGATCCACTCCTCAATTTTATCCGTGGAACTTATTTTTAAATATATTTCATACTTTGGAAGCGAAAAATATTCGTAGAAAATATATCGTTTCAAGAAGATTGGGAGGTTGACTATTTTATAGTGAAAAACAAACACGGATCAGTAATTGCCTGACTTGTCACGAAAGTGTTGTATTTAAAAAAATATCAATAAACAGGAATCACACACACACATTCAATAACACTTTCCTTTGAAGATCTCTTTCAAGAGGTGATAAGTGGCCGCGGTAGCCGAGTGGTATAGGTATCGGATCGTGGCTTGCCCTGTCACGAGTACGAGCCCAGTACCACTAAAGACTCGCCGTGTAGGGCAGCGATGCATGTTTAATCTGTCGAGAGCTGAAACGTCCTCCCGTTGGTGTGGTAATTAGGAGCGGGGGGTGCCAGCTCAGGTGTCGTCCACGTCACTTGACCGGGGTTCAAAATTACATGGTCCGTCGCCAAAAGCCCACGTGTAGTGAACAGTGCGACGTTAATATTCAATCAATCAAGAGGTGATAAATAGGCTTTCTTGAATAATATTTGTGACAGCAAAGTGTTTGGTCAGTGGTAATATCACAGCGGCAACAAAGACATCCTATGAAGTCTGTATATTATTGGTATTTTTATGAAACCGTTTACAGATGCAGAAATTATGAGGCAGTGTTTCATAAATGTTTTAATTTAGTGTTTTAGTGTTTGTGACCAAAATAAAAAATATAAAGAATTGTAATTAAAAAAAAGGAAATAAAGAGTTATAATATTTTGATCAATTTTCCACATTTTAAATTTCTAATATTATCTTGGTCTTAAAGTATTTCTCCCCCTCCCTCCCCTATTCATCCTCATGTTGCGGCCCGCGTGAAATAGGGGACATATGTAAGCGGCCCAGCAGAAAAGAAGGTGGAGTACCCCAGCTTTAGACCAAATGTATCAAACTTAATTGATATTACGGGTCACATAGTCTATTTTAAGCTGGAGGCAGGGCGATTTCTGTCTTCAAAAAATCAATAAAATGCGATTTTAATAATGTGCTACCTATTTATTAAATTGAATCTAAAAAGCTCATTGTATTATATACTATCATAAGTAGTCGTTTTATATATCATTCTATTTTATATTTAAACTATAAATATTTTATATTTTTTATAAAACAAAAAAAATTGCTGAAAGAAATTCAATTTAACATTAATTTTAGATGTTTAATGTCGCTTTTTTTCCCCTTCAGAAAGAGGTCATCAAGATTTGATAAAAAAATATTGAGCT